TCTTCTGCTTGGCCCCAGAAGACAGAAATGGGAGCGACAGGAGGAAGTCGCAAAGGGCTCAGGAAAAACCAGCAGGGAGAGCTATCTCAAAGTACAATCCATCAGTCAGTAAGCATCTATTAAGCACCTACTATGTGCCGGTCTATGATGGCTCACCTCCCACCTCAACCCACGCCCCTTCAAACATTTTTCTTTCTTCCCCACAACCCAGGTTTGCCATCTCAGAGTTCTCCTCAGCTCCTCCCTCTTCCTCTCCCTCATCTTCCATATCTTGTCAGTTACCAGCCCATGGCACACAAGAAGGACACAATCAGGACCCTCACAAAGCTGCCCCAGGAGGCAGTGGATCCCCACTCACCACACCCCACCTGCTCCCGGTCCCATTGAAGGTCTCCAAGCAAAAGCTGGATTCACTCAATATTCAACGAGCACTTGCAAAGCACTCACTGTATGCCAGGCTCTGTGCCAGAGAGTCAGGATACAAAGACGAGAAAAAACCCTTTACTCTGAAGGAGTTTATCACCTCTTGGAGAAGAGGCAACATGAATAAAAATATGAGGAAATATGAAATACATACAAAGTAAGGGATAGGGATAGGGCCTTTGATTTCATTGGTGTAGGGAACTCCCGGGGGAGGAAATGCTCTCTACCAATGCAGGTTGGCACCTTCTCTGGGACTTATATGCTTAGAAAATTGCCTAGGGCACTGCCTGAGAGGGTCACACAGCCAGTACATGTGAGAGGCTGAACTTGAGCCCAGATTCCTCTGTCCCACTTGACCCAACCGCTCCATGTACAAAAGAAATACAGAGGGAGGTCTGGAAGGACACCAGCCACTGTGGGAGGGGGTGTGGGGCAGAGGCTGTCAGGTTAGGCCTCACGTAGGAAGGACATTTATTTATATTTCGTTTCATTTCATCTTGTTAGTGTGGGCCCATAGTTCCAGCCTGTTGGGATATTTTTCAGCTTTGATTCTGTCTTCTAGTGGATTAGCTGTCCTTCCTGGGTCCTCTCCTGATTCTCCTGCTACCCGCCAGACCACTCCTTCCCAGTCTCCCAGCTGGCCCACTACCTACCTCTTGTCATTCTTACATGAGTGGTTCCCCAGGGAACCTAGGCTCTCTTTTCTTCTTTCTTTAAATTCTATCACTCCAAAGATGTAATCTGATCCCATGATTTCAATGATCATCTCTACGCAGATAACTCCCAAGTCTATCCAGCTAGCCTAATCTTTCTCTTGAATTTTAATCTTGTATTTCCAGTGACCTGCCTCTAATGCCTCCATTAAGAGGCAGTCAGTGGTACAGTGGATAGGGTGCTGGAGTCAGGAAATCCTGAGTTCAAATTTGGCCTCAGATGCTAGCTATGTAACTCTATGTTACGTAAACAAGTCATTTCACCTCTGTTTGCCTCAGTTTCCTCAATTGTATAATGGGGGAAATAATGGCACCTACCTCACAGAGCTGTTGTGAAGATCAGATGAGATATTTGTAAAAGCTCTTAGTACAATACTTTGCACACAGTAGACTCTTAATAAATGCTTATTCCCTCCCTCTCCTTCCACATGGATGTTCCTTAGGTACTTCAAACCCAGTATGTCTAAAATAGAACTCATCTCCTCCCATCATCCACCCTAAAACTACTCCTCCTCCAAATGTCCTTATTTCTGGTGAATTCTTCAAGTCACCTTCCAGTCACCCAGACCTGTAACCTTTGGGTCAGCCTTGACCTCCCCTCTCTGTAACCCTTCATAACCAGTTGGTTGCCATATATTGTAAATTCTACCTATACTTCATATCTATTCCTTTCTTCCCAATGGGGGACTCTCTAGTTTAGGACCTCATCACCTCTTGACTGGTGGTGCTGTGGGTAAGGGCATTAAACTCAGATTCAGAAAGACATGAATTCAAATCCAGCCTCAGGTGCTTATTAGCTGTGTAATCTTGGGCAAGTCACTTAAAAAATGCTTCCTGCCTCAGTTTCCCCATCTGTAAAATAGGGATAATACTGGTACCTAATCTCCCACAATTATTGTGAGGTCAGATGAGTTAATAAATGTAAAGTGCTTTGTAAACTTTAAAACACTATATAAATGCTAGGTGTGTTTTTTTTTTACTATGATTATTATTAATGTAATACCTTCTAACTGTTCTCCCTGTTTCCAATCACACCAAACATGGGATCAGAGATTTGGGGATGGAAGGGACCTTAGAAGTCATCTTAGTCCAACTGCTTCTGCAGGAGGTCTTTCCCTGCCCCCTGCACCCTCCCAATGCCACATCCCCTCAGAAATCACATCCAATTTACCCTGGACATAGCCCATGGTCTCCCTCATGAGAAGGTGAGCTCCCTGGGCACAAGGGCTGTCTTTCTGTCTTTCTTTGGATCCCTAATACTTAGCATACAGGGCAACTAGGAGATGCAGAGAAGGGGCCACCGACCTGAACTGGTGGAGAAAACTTCTTCCCCTGGGTTCCCTATGTCAGCTTAACAACAACTCAGTAGTTGCCTAAATGTTCCACATTTTAATCGCTGGACATGCCAGTCTTATCCTGCTTAATTTCACTTTGCATCAGTTCATACAAGTCTTCCCATGTTGCTCTGAATTCCTCACATCCATCATTTTTTAGAGCTTTAAATAATTGAATGAGGTTATAAAGAAAGGGCTTCCTAACCACGAAGGGATATACAAATGTTAACCATTATTAGAATTTCCTTTCCCTGCCCAGTCTAAACACAGGTCTCCTAGAGTTTCTCTCCTCATCTCTATACCAAGTATTCATTCTGTACTCTTCTAGTCACCTCTAAAATGTATTTACCTTGGACCTGTGTCCTAACAACTTCCATTCAGGTACTGGCCTATGGGTGTTCTTTTGTTTCTATATCTTACACACAGTGATGCACTGGCGGGCTGTTTTAGGTGCCCATTGCTAGAGGGAAAGAATTCTGTCCATGAAATAAATGTCCCCTTGTCCACTGGAGAGAACAGCAGCTGTGCATGACTAGATCACACAATAAATACTTTTTGGGAACAAAGTCCAGTGGGACCATAGGAGGTATCACTGTCTTTTCCTTCCTCTATTTATACAAGAAGTCCAGGATCCTGGCAGAATGGTCAGGGTTCGAAAGGAGGCTTCCTGGGTTGAATATGGCAAAGAAGTCGTCGCTGCTAGGTTCTCTCCCTTTCCCAGATAACCAGCTGGTTTTCCTGACAGTTTGTGCCTAATTGCAGCTGATGTGACCATTTTCATAGCATTATTGGATGTCTGAATTGAAAAGGGCGATAGAGATAAGTGTGTCTGAAGTCTCACTGTTCCATCCCTAATGTTTCCATCATTGGCCCATCATTCATTTCCTGCCCCATACTGTCCCCCAGGGCTCCATACTGTCCCTTTTTACTCTCTTTCTTGTTAACCTTGTTAGCCCCAATCAGGTCAATCAACATCTCTATACACAACTCCCAAATTAACACGTTCAGCCTTAATGTCTTCCAGTATTTCTAATCCTCCCAGACCAGCTGGTACTGGGATGTTTCCACCATTGTCATTTAAACTCAACATATCCAAAATAGAGCTCAGCATCTTCCCACCTAAACCCACTCCCCTCCAAACATTTTTATTTCATCCCCATAACCCAGGTTTGCCATCTCAGAATTCTCCTTGGCTCTTCCATCTTCCTCTCCCTCATCTTCCATATCTCCTCAGTTACCAGCTCTTGTCAACTCAACATTCCTCACACCCATCATCTTCCCAACACTTCCCAACACTCATATGGGCCCTCAGAACCTCTTGCTTAGACTATCATAACAGGTTCCTGGTTGGGCTCCATGCCTCCAGCTTCTCCTCTCTCCAAACCATCCTCCGTAAAACTACTGAAATAATTTTCCTAAGGCACAGGTCTGACCATGCCATTCCCCAGCTGAAAAAACCTCCAGAGGCACCTATCATCTCTAGGATAAAATACCAGCTCCTTGCTTGGCTCTCTACATTCTGCTATCCATTGACTGACCCAGATATATTTCCCATTGGTCCCCCTCAAACACCAGACATTTCTGCCCAAGTGGCCTATGAGCCATTCCCACTTATTTCTTTGCACTGGTTATTATACCACGCCTAGAAAGGGAAGGGAGAAAGAGAGGGGGAATAAGCATTTATTAAGCACCTACTATATGCCAGGCACTGTGCTAAGTATTTTACAAATATTTTCTCATTTAATCCTCACAACAACCCCTGCAGGAAGGGGCCATTACTATTCCCTTTTTATAGTTGAGGGAACTAAGGTATAAGGTGACGTGACCCGGGGCTCACAGCTAGTGAGTGTCTAAGGCTGGATTTGAACTCAGGTCATCCAAATGCCATGCTTACCACCACTTCTTAGAATATCCAGCTTATTTCAAAGCACAGCTCAGCTTTCACCTCCCAAGGGATGCCTTTCCTATTCCTCTTTGGGTACTCGGGTTGTCTTCCTCCTCAAATAATCTCATGCTTATCTGTGTACAGCAGCTGCTCCATTTTTATCTCTGTACCCCCAACATAGTGTTTTGTACACAGTAGGCATTTAATCAATGCATACTTAATGTTTGCTGAACCTCTTCGAGGCCCAGGTGATGTGCTTTCCCTTACATTCACTTCTCAATAAGCCCTGTGCTCCTAGGGACTGGGCAATCTGTTAAAATTCAAGGTTGTCCCTTGAGGAAGAGGAGAGGACCAGAAGTTCATGGAATTTACCAAATTCTCACCAGAAAAATGAGAGATCTGACTCAGGAAGCGTATACAGCAAAGGATGAACATGGGGAGCTTTCACAAATAGGGCTCTTGGAAAGGCCCTTGTATCATCAGTCAGCAGCTGGGCAGGGCACCCTACAGAACTGTCATCTCCCCTGGGCCCCAGCAAAACCTAAGGGAACCTGGAGTACATGTCACCGGGTCATTATTAGTACGAATGACAACTGACACTCAGATTGCATTCCAAGGCCACTGGAGCCTCCTGTATGCCCTTACCGAGGGTGGTGGGCCGGCTGGTTTTGGGGGAGGCCCGCTTCGGGGAAGACTCTGGGTGGGGGGCCACAGGCTGCACCGGCCGGGTCTGTTTGGCTGCCAGCTTCTTCAGGCTCACTTGTCTCCTCTCGAACATTTCTTGCACGTCTTCCAGCTTCTGAACGATCCTGTCTGCATTTTCCTGCGGAGAAAGAAGCCTATGGTGACAGAGGTCAAACAGCAAGGTCCTGAAATCCTGGGGCCATTGCAGGGCTCTGCCCAAATGTCTTCACAACAGGATGCCATGAGGCAACAGAGCAACCCTCTCTGGACTTGGGGGATTCTGGACCTTGAAGAATTGGGGGAGAGGGAGATTCTGCAGAAGGCTCTGTGCTGGTTCTCAAGTCATTTCACTTGGAAGTCTTATCCCTAGCAATCTCAGTGAAAACCCCTATAGGACAGCGACTTTCCTTTATTTTCTTCTCTGTCATGGGCTCTATATGAAGATGGGGCTTCAGAATATGTCTGATATGTATTGACAGACTGGTCAATTAGAAAAATATTCTCTTGCCACCTCCCCAAAAAAAACCTCACCTTATTTTTCTAGATAACATTTTATGTTCAAGTGACTACTAATAGCACTGTTGACAGTAAAATACCTAATTAAAATGTTCCATTTGTGGCTAAAGAGATGAAATTTGGAGACAGAATGGAGAGAATTACATAGTCATAAAACAATCTTTGTCATCATCCTAAGAACTAATATTTGTAGAGTATTTTGAAGTTTACGAAGCATCCTATATGCCTTATCTTGTCTGAACCTTATAACCATTCTGTAAAATAGGTACTACATATATTATTATACGTATGTTACAGAGGGGTAAACTGAGGCTCAGGGAGGTTATGCGACTTGCCCCTGCCCATCTAGGTAATTGTAATTGTAGTAATTGCCAGATCTAGTAATTACCAGAGTCAAGATTTAAACCTAGGGTCTACCTGGCTTCAAATTTAGCACACTAATATGTAATAGGCACTTAAATAGTGCCCACTATGTACCAGGCACTTCAAAAACATCTCATTTGATCCGCACAACAATCCTAGGTTGTTGCTCAGTCACTTTTCAGTCATGACCAACTTTTTGTGACCCCATTCAGGGTTTTCTTGACAAAGATACTAGAGTGGTTTGCCGTTTCCTTCACCTCATTTTACAGATGAGGAAACTGAGGCAAACAGGATTAAGTGACTTGCTCAGGGTCACACAGCTAGTAAGGGCTACACTTGAACTCAGGTCTTCCTCATCTTCATGAGTTCAAATCTGGCCTCAGACCTCACTAGCTGTGTGACCCTGAGTGAGTCAATTCATCCTATTTGCCTCAGTTTCTCATCTATAAAACGAAGTGGAGAAGGAAACGGCAAACCACTCCATTATCTTTGTCAAGAAAACCCTGAATGGGGTCATGAAGAGTTGGATATGACTGAAACAACTGAACAACAAAAAAAATGAATGTTCACTGACTGACCTTGAGAGACTTGAATGGAAAGATTAAGGACACTGGTACACATAGCAGGTGCTTAATAAATGCTTTGTTGGGCTGAATGATAAAATGAGGGTTATTAGCTAACCTTAGAGCCTTGTCGGCTCTTAATCCTGCGACTCTATGGGGCCATAGCACTGAACTCTGTGATCAACTTCCAGAGTCAATCAGCAGAGACAGCTGCTGAGTCCAGAGTCTCCTGGGGGACCAGGGTCTTGGGGTACAGCTGAAAGTAGTATGGAGGGGTTCTGTTTGTGGAGCTCTGTATTCCTGATAAGGCTTTTGATAATCACTAGATAATCCTTCCCATGCATGGGGCAGACAAGTGGTGACAATATGCTGACTCCAGGGGACCTTGAGACTTTGGATCCATAAATGGCCCAGTGAATACTGCAGCCAAGGGCTGCGGGAGCTTATCGGATCCCTTGGAGTAAGAAGCCCTGCTTGTTCAGCCTCCATCAGCCCAGGTCTCTCCCCCACTGTATGTGACTGAGCCTCGGCTTTGTATCTTCTCCTTTGATCAGAAGAAACCTCCTATAACAGCTAGCGGATTTTCTATTGATAGCCCTTGAAGGCTTTCAAAACACCTCAGGTGCATGAGCTCACAGCACCTCTGTGAGGCAGGAACTGCAATGATCATTGTCAACCCCACTTCCTCTCTTCTTCTTTCTTTTCTCTTATTTTCTTCCTTCCTTTCTTTTCTTTCTCTCTTTTTCTCCTTTTCATTTCCTTCCTTTCTTTCTCTCTTTTCCTTCATTTCCTTCTCCCTCCCTCCCTCCCTTCCTTCCTCTCTTTTGATTTCTCCTTTTCTCTCATTCCCTTCCTTCCCTCACTTCCTCCTTCCTTTCTTCCTCCTTCTTCCTTTCTTTTCCTCTTCTCTGTTGATCTTTCTGTCTCTGTCTTTCTCTTTCTGTCATACACACACACACACACACACAAAACCATTTACTCAAATGGCATGGCAAAACAGTGATTACAAAGCAAATCCCCCATCATCAAAGGGGGCCCTCTCCCTAAAATACACACAGTGCATGGGTAGAAGAAGAAGAGAGAAAGAAAGAAGAAGAAGAGGAAACTGAGAGGTGATAAGATCATCGGTCAGGAGCTGGAAAGGGGCTCTGATGGCTTGATGAACCAAATGAGATAATATTGGTTGATAGAATGGTCAGGGTTCTCTCCATATAGAGAGAAGAAGAGGAAACTGAGAGGTGATAAGATCATCGGTCAGGAGCTGGAAAGGGGCTCTGATGGCTATCTCGCCTCACATGTAAGAGGGGTGGAAAAGGAAATGCAGAGAGTTGGACTGACTTGCCCAGCTAGATGTCATGGTGGATAAGTGATGGCTTATAGTGAGGAAGTTGTTTTGTTGTTCAGTCATTTTTTCAGTCATGTCTGATTCTACATGAGCCCATAGATATTGTCCACGGTGTTTTCTTGTCAAAAATACTTGTCTTCTCCAGTGTGTCCCCATTGTACTGACATTAGTTCAAATTTGGTCTCAGACACTCACTAGCCGGGAGACTCTGGGCAAGTCACTTAACATCTTTGTACCTCAGTTTCCCTCTTTTGTAAAATGGGGGGAGGGGTAGACTCAATGACTTCTAGGTTTCCTTCCAGCTCTAACGCTTTGACCCTATGCTCTTCTAAGGTTCCTTTGGGGAACTATAACCCAATGACTTTTCTGAGCCCTATTTCCACCTATAAAACAAGGGCATCAAACTAGATGGCTGCAGCCCCTTCCTCTGCTTTGTCACTTCCTGCTGGAACCTCCATTTTTGAGGGAGGGCCTAAGCCAGCCATGCTCACTCTTTCACTCCTCTCTGGGCTTCACGCCTGCCTCTCCAGACTTCTCCAATGTGCCCCAGCTTTTCCACTCCCTTTCATTTGTTCTCTCCCCCACTAGAATGCAAGCTCCCTGAGGGCAGTGACTGTTTGCCTTTCTCCCTATCCCCAGTGCGCAGCATGGTAACTGGAGCACATTAAATGTCCCATAAATGCTTGTTGACTTCATTTGAATCTAAGTTCTGGCTCTAAAGCTATGATCTTATGATCTCTATGAGTCTCGGTTTACCCCTCTGTTACATAAGGGCCTCTAAAGTCCCTTCCAGCTGTTGGTCCCTATTGTCTTAAACCCTTGTTGGACTGGACTGGATTCTCTTAATCGGCCCCTGATTAGAAGGAAGAAGGGAGAAGTGTTAAGACCACATCGGGCTCCTAAAAAGCTCTCAAAATTTGCCAGCAATTAGAGTCTGCAAGAATCTGCAATAGTCTAGTTTAGTCTACGCAACTTCAGCATTTATTAAGCACCTACTAAGGGCCAGTCACTTGCTAAGTGCTTTACAAACATTAGGTCATTTGATCCTCACAACAATTCTGGGAGGCAGGTGCTATTATGATCCCTAAATGAGACAAGACAATTTACAAACATTTTTCCCATCTCTTTTGTTCCTCTGTTTTCAGCCTTCATTTGGCGATAATCCAGCAACACTAGGCTACTTGTCCCATTTCCTGTCTCCATGCTTTTGCACTGGCTGTACCCCATGCCTGGAATGCTCTCCCTCCACACCTCCATCTCCTAGCTTCCTCCAAAACCCAGCTCCAATTCCACCTTCTGCAGGAGGTCTGATCCAGCGCCCCTGGATGCTAGCTCCTTCCACTTACACACTACATGTCTTGTATGTATTCAATTCTTTACATGCGATCTCCCACATTAAAGCGTGAGCTCTCTGAGAGCAGGGACTGTTTCTGTCCTTTCTTGTATCCCTAGCATTTAGCAGCACAAGGCTTGGTACCCAGTAAGAGCCTAACAAATGCTTGTGGACTTATTTCCCTAAAAAAAGGAATCAACAAAGTCCCTACAGTTGGTCACAGCTCAGGACCTCTGGCTCCTTTGGTGACTATAGCTATAGGACTTCCTGGTTGGGCTGAGATAATGATTTTTACAAGTAATAAAGGCCAAGGAAAAGAGGGACATGGTCTATAAGGACCTAATAGCTGATAAATGTGGCCTTGCTCTTGGACCTCTTGGCATTCATTAGTATCGAGAGGTGGGAAGTAGTGACTGAGTTCTGAAGTCAGTGGCCCACAAGGGCAGAGAGAGATATGTCACTAGGGTGGGGTCATGGAGCTTTGCCCCAGGGTGAGAAATTTAGAGTGTGACAACAGCACCCTTCTTCCCTGGCTACTCAGCTCCCAATGGCAGCAACAATTACCCCTTCTTTTCCCTACCCCAGGGGCATCAGTGGTAAGAAGTACTTCTTTCTCTTTCAGCAATGTAGAAATGTCTCAGAAATGTCCTGGGGGCATGTCCAGCTTCTTCTCTGCTGGAAACCTTGTGTCATACCAGGATCAGATTTTCTATCCATCTCCTTGACCCCTCCCACAACCTGGGCTACAGCAATGAGCCTAGAGTCAGGAAGACCCAATCTCAGACACTTACTGACTGTGTGATCCTGAACAAATCACATAACCTCTGTTTGCCTCAGCTTCCTCTTCTGTAAAATGGGGATAATAATAGCAACTACCTCCCAGGATTGTTGTGAGGATCAAATGAGACAATAATGATAAAGTGCCTAGTGCCTACAGCCCTACACAGTTCCTTAGCAAGCACTATATAAATGTCAGCTATGATTATCCTTATTCTCATCCTGCCATGCATACACCCTCAGAACCAATGTGCTGTAACTTTGTACCCACTCTTCTACCCATGCACTGTGTGTATTTTAGGGAGAGGGCTCCCTTTGATGATGGGGGATTTGCTTTGTAATCACTGTTTTGCCATGCCATTTGAGTAAATGGTTTTGTGTGTGTGTGTGTGTGTGTGTGTGTGTGTATGACAGAAAGAGAAAGACAGAGGCAGAAAGAGCAACAGAGAAGAGGAAAAGAAAGGAAGAAGGAGGAAGAAAGGAAGGAGGAAGTGAGGGACGGAAGGGAATGAGAGAAAAGGAGAAATCAAAAGAGAGGAAGGAAGGGAGGGAGGGAGGGAGAAGGAAAGGAAGGAAAAGAGAGAAAGAAAGGAAGGAAATGAAAAGGAGAAAAAGAGAGAAAGAAAAGAAAGGAAGGAAGAAAATAAGAGAAAAGAAAGAAGAAGAGAGGAAGGATGGAAAAAAACTGAGTAGAAAAGAGACCCAGACTGAGTTGTCACTGCTACTCTCTGGCCTCTGACCACTTTATCATCCTCACATTCCTCCCCACCTGATCATTGGCTTCTGGGAACATCACATTGAAGGTCAAAGGAAGGAGGGGGTGCTAAGGGAAGCAATTCAGCTATCCCAGGGTACAGGAGAGGAAGGCAAAGCCAGCCAGAGTTCATAGATCACAGAACCACAGAGTTGGAGCCAGAAAAAAAAAAAAACAACCTCAGAGGCCACTAGTGCCAAACTGAGAATCAGAGAAGTGACGGGAGATGCCCAAAGTCACACAGGTTGTTAAGTGTCAGAGGCAGGATTCGAACCCAGGTCCTCTGACTTCAGGGTTAGGGCTTGTACCATGCTGCCTTCCCACAGCTGCAAGTCCTTGCAGAGGAAGCTCCTTCTACTCTCCTTAGTCTGCCAAGTGCTCAGAATCTTACCCGCCAACAAGTCCCTGTCCCAGCTCCAGACAAAGGTACCAGAGGCAAAATTATTACCTTTATTTCAGGGGTGAGAACTATGTTGAACTGGTTGTAGAATTCCTTGGGGTTGACCAGCTGGTAGTCCTTGGCTGTGCCCAGGAACTTTTCGATGTCCCCCAGGGCTGTCTCAGCACCCTCCTGTGTCTGGCACTTATCCAAGGCTTGGGATGCTAAAAGGTAGATGCCAGCTTCACACCACTGACTGGTCTGTAGAGAGAGAACACAGTGCACAGGTGATCAGCAAGCAAGTGAAGATATCGCCTTCACACCCTCTTGTCTCAGTCTCTCTTGCCTGGATGAGACATTCCATTTACCATCTCCATGCCTTTGCAAACATGGGCTGTCCTTCACTTATGAAACATACTCCCTCCTCACCAATACTGGACTTTTCCTCCCCCCCCCTTATTAGAACTCTCTTACTATTTAAATTACTTTGTATTACTTTGCATATACTTTGTAGTAACTTTCTTGTAACCATGTTTTATCCCTCCTCCACTATCACCTCCAGGATAATGGAAGCTCACTGAGAGCAGGGACTAGTTTTTCATTGTTTTTGTTTGTCTGTTTTGTCTTTGTATCTCTTCCACTGAGCAAAGCACTTGGTACTTGTAGGTGATCAACATTTATTGAATTAAATTAGGGGGATGGGAAGGAAACAAGCACCTACTATGCCCTGTGCTAAACACTTTACCAATATTATCTCATTTGGTTCCAAGTGCCATCTCATTTGATAAATGGAATCTAGTAAATGATAATAAATTCTAAAGGTCTCCACTAGAGAAGTCACACAGGAGATGTCTAGTCTTGCCCCTATGATGGCAAGCAATAGTTAGACATCTGTACAAACAAGGCTCACAAAACCTCCATGGTCACCAATGCACAGATGTGACCTTTGCAGAGAAAACCAGAGCCTACCCTGAACAGCAAGCACAGCTTCTGCCTCAGAGCCAAGCACTCCTTCCTTTTCTGCTGATAGAGAAAGACATGTCACTGAGTAAAACCACTTGAATGTGCATTCCCAAGACTGTGTTAACCTCGAATAAATGAAATTGAGGATAGGGAGGGTACACACTCCCTCCCCACCCTAAACATGACAGTTCATCTCCCCCCTCCAGGCCTTTATACACACATGCCTCTTAGAATCCGTAGCTTCCTTCAAGGCTCAGCTCTTACCCTAACATGAAACTTTTTCTGATCCTGCCCTCCAATTATTAGTGTTCTCTCCCTTAACCAAAATTATTTTGTATTAACTTTATTCATAATTTGTATATACTTATATACACACATGTTATTACTCCTCCCAGATTAAATATAATAAGTTCTCTGAGGGCAAAAACAGTTTCATCTTTGTCTTTGTATTCCCAGTATCAAGCACACACTAAGTGCTTAATAAATGCTTATTGATTAATTTTATATGTACAATATTGTGTATATATTACATATAATAAATGTTTACTGAATAATTTCATATGTACATAATGTGTGTTGTCTCCCCCACGTTTTTAGCAGTACCTACACACAGTAGGTGCTTAAAAATTCTTCTTGATCGATTGATTTTATAGGTATTTCTGTATATAACATGTTGTCCCTCCCAATAGAATATAAGCTTCTTGAGGGCAGAGACTTCCATTTTTTTTTATCATTGTATCACCAGCACCTAGCACCATGTTACAGAGGGTAACCTATACATGGAGGTATATACATGGTACTTAATAAATACTTCTTGATTGATTTTATATATACACTTTTGTACGTACATGTTATCTCTCCTAGTAGAATGTAAGCTTCTTGAAGGAGGAGCTGTTTCATTTTTGCCTTTGCCTCTGCAATACCTAGCATAGTACTTGGCACACAATAAACACTTAATGCTTACTGAATTAAATGTTCAGTTCAGTGCCACTTTGCTTTCTGGGCACTGGGTTTTCACCTTCTTGTTTACATGTATTTGACTTTCTATTGCATATAAAAGATTTGCAACAGATGATGTTTACACTAGGGATGTTGCTACAAAATTTCCCTTGACATCTCTTCCTTTGACACAATCAATTTGCTCAATTCAACTGGGCAGGGTAAGAATTTAATTTACAAAGTACCTAATGTGTGCACACAAGTGGAATGGAGGTGACTGGGGGCGAGGGCGAGGGGGGAGGCTGGGGCACTTGGTCACTTTTACCAAGCCACACAAAGCCTTCAGGGATAGGCCTGAATATGGACAGTCTGCCTGTTCATCCCCCAAGGATGAGTCTGGCTAAGCCCATCCCCAGCTTAGCCTTGGGGGAGGAATTTTTCAGCCACAATGACTCGCAAGGACCATCTAATAAATGATTAGAGAGTGATCAAAATCTTCACTGTGCAACAAAATGAAAAGTCTTTGAAGTAGTTACTAGTTGGCATGAAGGCTTTAAGTTGTAACATTATGAATTTTTTAAAACTGCAAGGGCTGCTTCATTCTTTGTATTTCCATCCCCAACACTTGGCACATTGACTAATATACAGTAGGTGCTTAATAAAGGCTTATGAACTGACTTTATGTATACTTAGATGTACTGATATGTGTACTGTATTATTTTTTACTTTTATATAGACGTAGAGATATACTTATACGTGTACTATGTAGATATACTTCTACATGGGCTTATATATGGACTTTACATATATGTATGCACGTATATATACTTGTATATATATTGGCACATAGTAGGTGCTTAATAAATGCTTAACTTCATACATACTTAGACGTACTGATAGGTATAGTGTATATATTTTTATTTTATATAGACATGTATTATATATTTATACTTGTACTATATAGATACACTTCTACATGGGCTTATATGTGGACTTTACATATATGTATGCATATATACTTGTGTATATATTGGCACATAGTAGATGCTTAATAAATGCTTATTGATTGACTTTATATATGCACTGTTATATATTTACTTTTTAGCATACTATATATATATATTTGTGTATTTGTATACATACACACTTACATAAGCATATGTAGATTAATTGATTATCAAACCTTTTGTCTCCTTCAGAGATTTGAATGGGAGAGATATAGAACACTGATAATAACTGAGAAATAATAATCATGGGAAATCTGGTGACAGCTAGCTCTGGCTTTTCTTTCTATCCAATATACATAAGCTCATGGTTCACTTGAGTCATACTTTGAAATTCCCATTGAGGCCTCAGACTCAGCTTGGCACAAAATAATAAGCAGAGGGGAATTTCAATAACTTTGGGGGTTTTGACATTTAGGGGAATATTACACACTCATACACACACACTTCAGAAGACTGGAACAGAAAGTTAGCTGGGCAAGCAAACAGCAGCAGCTCGGATGTACAGAGTGAGCTCAGAATACACAGGATTGGGATGACTTAGCTAGCTTCTCCTGGGGCCACTTGCTGGATTCTTGTAAATCCTCCAGCTTTATGGGGGTCAGCAGGCACTAGGAGGAGCCAGCCTGAGATACCCTTGTGGGAAATGGAACCAGCTGGGTGGGGGGACGTGAGGGGGAAGGGACAGGGGAGGCTGATGCACAGTCATGGGCAGATTCGCTACTGTCCTGCCTGGAAACAGCTGAGTCGGCCTTCTTCTGCAGTCTCAGAACACCAGGCACCACGAACCAGAGGGTTCCCAGATTAATCTCTTCTCTCCAGGGACTAGGAGTCTGCCAAGGCCCTTTGGGTGGAAACATTGGGTCTCTCCAAGGAAGAGGCAGGCAGGGGAGCAGTGCCATTTAGGAGAGATGGAGCTGACACTAGAGTGGGGTCCACCTGGGTCCACAGATGCCCAAGGTATCTAGAGATACATTTCAGGGGTTCTGTGATCTTTGATGGGGAAAAAATTGCATCTTTGTTTTCACTAAGCTCTTATTGAAATTAAACTTTTTTCTTTCCATTATGAATACATAAATACAAAAATATGTTAAAAACTCCTGCTCTGGAATTGAACGACCTGGGTTTAAATCCTGACTCTGACAAAAAGCATTTATCAAATGCTTACTATTATTTCTCCTCCTCCTATTGTTACTACAATGTACTATAACAACAACAACTACTACTGCTGCTGCTGCTGCTGCTACCACTACTACTACTACTACTACTACTGCTACTCCTCCTCCTATTACTACTGCTATTACTACTACTACTGCTACTACTACTACTACTACTACAACAAGCTAACATTTATATATCCCTTACAAAGTGCCAGGTACTGTGCTAAGCTCTTTACAATTATTATCATTTGATCCTCAGAACACCCTGAGGTGGTGGGTTATCCCCATTTTACAGATGAGGAAACTGAGGCAGACAGCAGTTAAGTGATTTGCCCAGGGTCACATAGCTAGTAAGTGTCTGAGGCCACATTTGAACTCAAGTCTTCCTAACTCCAAGCCTCAACCACAATCCACTGTGTCACCCAGCTGCCAGCCCCTGGTAGCTCTTCAGACTTTTCTGCCCTGTGGTAAAATAGAGATAACACTGAACTTGGAGCCAGGAAGACGTGAGTTGAAATCCAGCCTCAAACCATTTATTATTCAGTTTCCTCATCTGTAAAGTGGAGATAATAATACTATAGTTCCAACTCTTTACACCACTCCAACTTCCCTATTATTGTGAAACTCAAATGAATAATGGAGGTGAAATGTTTTGCAAACCTCCAAACCATGTGTCAGTTAACATCACTTTTTTTTAAGACATCACATTTACTCCTTGTCCAAACATAACAGAAATGGAAAAAAAAATATCAGAACCCAACGACAACCAGCTAATTTCCACAATCTGTGTTCCTTCTGTGTGCATTATTCCTTGAATTGATTTAAAATAAACACATAATACAATAATTTTATTTCTCCTGTAAAAGAAAATCTATTAAAGTGGGACTGGAGGATTACTGTTACTGATAACAACAATTCTCTGATCTGTGAGGTTCTCAGGGCTGTTTACAGGAATGTGTGGATCCTTGATTAATACCTGGAAGTGATTTCAGAGTCTGCTTAGTCTAACCCTTGCATTTTACAGAAAAAGAAACTGAGTCCCAAAGGAGGTTAAATAACTTGGACAGAAACTGTATCACAAATGTAGAGTTGGAAGGAACCTCAGAGACCGTCTAGCCCACCTGTCCCCTGAGGAAACTGACCACAGTCACACAGGTAGCAAATAAGACAGGTAAGATTTGAACCCAGACCCTCTTTTACCAAATCCAGTGTTTCCCACTGTCCCACACTGTTGCCATCGTTCCTCATTTTATATAAGAGGAAATGAAGGCCTGGAGGAATGGAGTCATCTGCCCAGCATCACATAGCTAATTAGTGACCTACAGACCAAAGTTGGGCTCTCCTACTGGCTGATTCACTCAAGGCCCAAAAGGCAGCCAGCCCAGTGGATGAGTGGGGAATTATCAGCCTCACCAGGGAAGGCATCGAAAGAAAAGCCCAAAATCTCTTTTTCCACATTGAAACCTTCCTAAGAAACTGTTCCCTTGTCCCCATGCCGGTCCCCCAGGGGCCATGGGCCCTTAGCTCTGCTCACCGCATCTAGCTGCCTATGCATTTCCAGGGCCTTCCCCAAAATGTCGCACTTCTTCTTGGCCTCGTTGGTGAAGTCATCACAGATGCGCCGGAGCTCCACACACTTGGGCCGGATAGAGTCCACAGCATAGTGGTTGCTTTGGATAAGCTGGTCACCGGTCACTGCCAGGGACTGGGCCTTCTCCAGGGGCTCCTGAAAAACAGAACCCAACTGTCAAAAGCTGCCTAGTCTCAGGGGTAACCAATGGGGTGGGGGGAGAACTTTGACTTCTGAGTCTGGAGGTTCTCACCCAGGCCTGAGTGCATGGATCCAGACCTCTCTCTTTCTCTTTCTATATGAGACATGTATATGTATATTGTGTATATATGCGTGTATGTATACATATGTATATGTATATAAAACTTTGTATGCACCATATATTTACTTACTTCTGTACATAATTCTTCCCCGGGTAGAATGTAAGCTCCTTGAGGGCCAAGACTGATTCATTTCTGTCTTTTTATCACCTGGCACACAGTAGGGGCTTAATAAATTTTGTTAAGTTGAACCAAATTGGTTAAGCGACTGGCTATATCATAGACACTCAGGCCCATTCAGCATATGCAACCCATAATATTTGTCAATTAAACGCAAGAGTTAATTGCTACAGCACCTCTGACTGGATCTGCATAGAGCTGGAGGAAATCATGCAACGTAATTCCTCCTTTCCTTTCTGTCTATCTATTTATCATTCATCATCTATATCTATCTTTTTTATCATGCATTCATCTATATAAATCCATCTACCATTTATCTATATATATATATATCATTCATCTACATCCATCATACCTACCAATCATTCATCTATATATACATGTCTATCATTCACCTATATATTCATATCTATAATTCACCTATATCCATCATTCATCTATCTATCTGTATATATGTATCTGTCTATCTATCTATCTACCTATCATTCATCTATCCCCACACATATAGTATTAACCTACTCTCCTCAACTATGGTCATATGTCAACAATTGCCTCTTAGAAATTTGAAGGGGGCAGAGCCAAGATGGTGGAGTAAAAGCAGTGACTTGCTTGAGTTCTCCCCCTAACCCCTCCAAATACCTATAAAAAAATGGCTGTAAACAAATTCTAAAGCAGCAGAACCCACAAAAAGACAGAGCGAAACAAATTTCCAGCCCAAGACAAGCCTCAATGGTTGATCGGAAAGGTATATCGTGCTGGGTGGGGAGAGAAGCGCAGTTTGGCATAGGCGCGCAGGCCGCAGCAATCCTGCAGCAGGACTCAGAGGACTGAATCAAGGGCAGCTGTGGTGATTTCCAGACTTCTCAACCTATGGACGCCAAAGACAACTTGGAAGGTCAGTGGCAAAAGTCTGTGTCAGCAGGGAGAGAGAGAAGGTGGTGGTCTCAGCTCCAGTCCCCAAGCTTGGCACCGGGGCAACGGCTGCCTCCTGAGCTTCTGGCCCACTGACTGAGGGGGAATCAAGTGACTGATCAGAGGGGGATTGCAGAGATCTCTCTGCTGGTGCAGGATTCTCTTGCTTTGCCCATGCTTGGTTCTGGGTCATAGTTCTGGGTGGTGGTCCTGGGGCAAGGAGGGGTGCTGGCATGGTGGAGCTTGTAGTGGCTGTGGAGAGGAAACCCTCCTCACAGTTCCAAGACAGAAAAGAGTGCTCATAGACCAGAGCACAGGCCAGGAAAGGAGTAAACACCTCGCCCTCGATCATACCACCTTGGAAGAACTGAAAATTTACAGGTCCCTAGAAGTATCTCTGAACACAGCTGGACAAAACCCCTGAAGCTTGGGATAATACATTCTCTACACGGGAAACAGACTCCTACCTTAACAAAGAGTTTATAACTCAAGTAATTGGCTGGGATCATGAGCAAGCAGCGCAAAAAGAGTCAGACTATATTATCTTACTTTGATGACAAAGAAGATCAAAACATACAACCAGAAGAAGACAACAAAGCCAAAACTCCTACATCCAAAGCCTCCAAGAAAAATATGAATTGGTCCCAGGCCATGGAAGAGCTCAAAAAGGATTTTGAGAAGCAAGTAAGAGAAGTAGAGGAAAAACTGAGAGTGATGCTAAAGGAGACCCAAAAAAATACTGAAGAAAACAACACCTTAAAAAATAGCCTAACCTAAATGGCAAAAGAGGTCCAAAAAGCCAATGAGGAGAAGAATGCCCTAAAAAGCAAAATTAGCCAAATGGAAAAGGAAGTCCAAAAGCTTACTGAAGAAAATACTTCCTTAAAAATTAGAATGGAGAAATTGGAAGATAGGGACAATATGACAAATCAAGGCACTGTAACACTAATCAAAAGGAATGAAAAAAATAGAAGAGAATGTGAAATATCTCATTGGAAAAACAACTGACCTGGAAAATAGATCCAGGAGAGAGAACTTAAAAATTACTGAACTATCTGAAAGCCATGATCAAAAAAAAGAGCCTAGACATCATCTTTCAAGAAATTATCCAGGAAAACTGCCCTGATATTTTAGAACCAGAGGGCAAAATAGAAATGGAAAGAATCCACCAATCACCTCCTGAAAGAGATCCCCAAAGGAAAACTCCTAGGAATGTTGTAGCCAAATTCCAGAGTTCCCAGGTCAAGGAGAAGATATTACAAGCAGCCAGAAGGAAACAATTCAAGTATTGAGGAAACACAATCAGGATAACACAAGATTTAGCAGCTTCTACATTAAGGGTCTGGAGGGCATGGAGTATGATATTCTGGAGGGCAAAGGAATTAGGACTACAACCTAGAATCACCTACCCAGCAAAACTGAGTATAATCCTTCAGCGTAAAAAATTGTCATTCAATGAAATAGAGGACTTTCAAGCATTCCTGTGGAAAAGACCAGAGCTGAATAGAAAATTTGACCTTCAAATACAAGACTCAAGTGGAACATGGAAGAGGTAAATGGGAAAGAGACACCATAAGAGACTTATTAAGGTTGAATTGTTTACATTCCTGCAGGGAAAGATGATATTTGTAACTCATGAGTTGTTTGTCAGTATTAGGGTAGTGGGAGGGAAAAAAATTATATTTTGTGTAGATAGATATAGAGGACACAGGATGAGTTGAAGATGAAGGGGTGATATCTGGAAAATAAAATTAAGGGATGGGAGAAGACTATATTGGGAGAAAGAGAAAGGGAGTAGAATGAGGTAAAATATCTCACATGAAACAGACAAGAAAAGGCTTTTACAGGGGATGGGAAATGGGGGAAGGTGAGAGGGAATGAGTGAATCTTATTCTCATAGAATTTGGCTTAAGGAGGGAATAGCATGCACAATGGGGTATGGAAATCTATCTTACTCTACAGGAAAATAAGGGGGAAGGGGACAAGAGAGCAGGGGGTTGATAGAGGGGATGGCGGATTGGGGGAGGGGATAATCAAAAGCAAACATTTCTGAGGAAGGACAGGGTCAAAAGAGAGACTAGAATAAATGGGGGGTAGGATAGGATGAAGGGAAATATACTTAGTTTTTCACAACAGGACTACTATGGAAGTGTTTTGCATGACTACACATCTATAACCTATATAGAGATGCTTGCCTTTTCAATGAGGGTGGGTGGGGAGGGAGGAAGGGAGAAAATTTGTAACCCAAAGTTTTAAAAACACATGTTAAAAATAAAAACAAATTAAAAAAAAAAAGAAATTTGAACTGGATGTCCTATAGACATCTCTGTCTCAACACGTCCAAAACTTTCCCTTCCTCTCAGCTTCCATATTGCTCTTAAGGGTACCACCATCTTCCCAGTCACTCAGGTTAGAAACATTGGTATCTATCTCACCCTCACCCTTACACACAACCTCTTGACAACATCTCCCGATCATACCCCCTTCTCCCCTCTGACACTGCCCCTACCTGGTGCAGACCCTCCTCTCCTCACATCCTGATTACTGCAGTAGCTGCTGATAGGTCTGCCTGCCTCCTGTCTTTCCCTGCTCCAACTTGACCTCCCGGGCAGCAGCCATGGTCACTCTCGATTCGCGGACAGACTTGTGGAGAGGCTCAGTCTGCCGCTGACCCCAGCAGAGCCTTTCCCAGGACACCAACACCTCACGCACCCACCTGGCCTCTCTCCTCCAGCTGTTTCCGCTCCCTCAGCAGCTGCTCCACACGTGTCACGCTATTCCCGACGATTGTGATTTTTGCCTGTACACACATGAGGCTGTCCAGGGCCAATTTAACCTGAAAAACAGAGTGAGGTAATACAGAAACAAACCTGCCAGTGACCATGGAAGAGGGATAAAGGGCACTTGGCTTAACAAAATCAGTTTATCCGACGCACCCTAGATTTGCACTGGACCCGTGATCTCATTGGTCTGAGGAACTCCTGCTGATGAAACTCTCTTTCCTGTAACTCAGCATTTGGAGAGTTACCTGGGCTGAGATGTTAAGTGATTTACCCAGGGTCACATGGTATGTGTCAGAGGCAGGATCTGAATCCAGGTCTTGGTGACTCTGAGAGGTCAGTGCTCTCTCTGCTATACCATACTGCCTTTCATTGTGTATAGCAGCATCTATATATTGCTTTGCAATTATTGACTTCTTTGTTCCTTAAAACAACCTGGGAAGTGGGTGCTATTATTATCTCCATTTTACAGTTGAGGAAACTGAGGCAAACAGAGGTGCAATGGCTTGCTCAGGGTCACCTAACCAGTAAGTGCCTCCGGTTGAATTTGAATTCTGGTTTTTCTGACTTCAGACTGAGTGTTTTAATCACTACACTACCTGGCACGTTACCCAGGTGTACAAAGAGCGTAAGATTCCAGAGCCTGTGTCCTCTCCACTTTATCATTCTGCCCCCAGAGTCTCAAGTGGGATTTGTACCCAGATCCCTGGACCTCATAGTGACCACCCAAGCCGGTGACTTCATCTCCCTGGGTCTCAGTTTTCTCATTTGTAAAACGAATTCCCTTCCAGCTATAGTTCTGGGACACTATGATTTATGAGGATCTTGGTTCAAAGGATTCTCTAGTGTCCTGAAAAAGCCTGGCAGGTTTCCCAGTCACCACCACCACCCCCTGGAGGGTAGCGGGGTCTGCTCCAAACCTCCTCTCACGAAATCCCCAATGCTGATCTATTGCAGGTGCTTTTGTTAAAATAATAATAATAAAACCACACAGAGTCTTTTTTTTCCTTCTTAATTCTATGTGCCAGATGACTGCTTGGGAAGGAAAGACGGTCTGGTTGTCTGCTACTTTTCACTCTCCAGATGTAACATCGAGGATGTTACATTAGCTTTATCCTGAAGGAAGGGACCGTCTTTCCTTCTGTTTGCATGTATATACCACAGTGCCTGGGCACACAGTAAGAGCCTAATAAATGTCTGGGGACTTGGCTAGCGCTGGGAGGGACCTTATGGGCTATCTAACCAAACTCCTTCTTTTACAGTCAAAGACAGAGAGGCCCCAGCTGGGGAATGGACCTGCCCAAACCCGCACAGGATTCAAGCCGAGGTCCCTGGACTCCAAATCCCCGCCTTGTTGTCCCCTAGCACCCTGCCTCTCCATTCCAGGGGAGAAGAGAGGCTCTGGTGCCTGGGTAGGACTTCAGAAGGAAATGAATGGGGGAGAAGGGCCTGGCCCAATTCTGACCTAGAGATTGACCCCAAAGAGGAAGAAGGGGATGGGGGAAATAATACCTCTCGGAAATTGTGCTCAAAGTGCCGCAGCTGCAGGCATTGGTTTAACTTCAGATAATGCTTGGTCCAGAACTGGTCAAAGGCCTTTTCTGTCTCATCCAGCTGAGCAAGTAACCTGGGAGAAACAGAGGACAGCACACATGATGGCGCCCGTTCATTCCCCACTGAGGCACCTGGGGTGAAGAACATCCTAGCCATGATTCCAGCTGGTGCCACATCCTCTGCTATGAGCGTGTGCAGCCACTCACATCTCTAGGGGCCTTCAGGGCTTACAAAGCACTTTGCCAGCACCCTCCCCTAATACAACTTTTTAAGGAAGGTGCCATTATTATCCTCATTTTATAGGGGAAGAAATTGAGGCTCCCACACAAGTCATAAGGGTCAGTCCTGGGATCAAGTGCCTAGGATGTGGGACCACAACCTCTAGAGCTGGAAAAGTTTTCAGAAGCCATTAAATCTCACCCTTCACCTTCATACCTCTTCATCTGTATATGGGGTCATATATCTGATCTCTATATAGAGAGGTATATATACACACGTGTATAAATGTGTATATGCATACATGCATGTGTGCAACATACTTGTGTGTATATATATGCATGTGCATCAATAAGTGCATATACATGTATATGTGTATATATACATATGTGTGTGCACAACATGCCTATGTGTATATGTGCATGTGTATTAATAAACACATGTGTGTATGTGTGTATGTATACATGTACGCATGAGTATGACATAGCTGTGTATATATGTGCATGTGTGTTGATAAGCGCGTATGTGTATATATGTACATGTGCAACATTAAAGCTCCTTAGGGGTGGGGAGGAGTCCTCAACAATTTTTAAGAGTGTAAAAAGGTCCTAACACCAAAAAGTCTGGGAACTGCCTGACTGGAGTCTTGGGCTGAATCCAATAAGATGAAATTCAATAAGGATAAATATAGAACCTTATTTTGTAGCTGTTGTTGAGTCATTTCTTTAGTGCCTAGCTCTTTGTAACTCCTTTTAGGGCTTTCTTGGCAAATATACTGGAGTGGTTTGCCAGTTCCTTCTCCAGCTCATTTTACAGATGAGGAAACTGAGGCAAAGAAGGTTTGACTTGCCCGGGGTCACACAGATCCTAAGTGTCTGAGGCCAGATTTGAACTCAGGAAGATGAGTCTTCCTGACTCCAGGCCTGGAGCTGTATGCACTATGGTGCCACTCACGGGCTGGCGTAGAGCACTGCCGGGCTCCCTCCCAGCTCTCAGATTTGGTGATTCTGTGATTCAGCACGCAGTGGCTTCTCAGGGAGCGGGACTAACAGGGGAGCAAAGCTAAAGGCAAAGGCAGACGGGATGAGACATCGCTCCATGTCCTTCTTAAAGGCACTCAGGAAAGCGCGGTGTGGAGTGAGCATGGGCAATGATGGCCCTGCGGTCACTTTCACTGATTCCAGAACCCATTTGGGGAGGGGCCCCCTTAGTGTTCCTAGGACCCTAAATATTAATGAGGGCGGGATTTTTTAAAAGGAAAGTGTACTGATGCCATTGGCAGAAATCATGCCATTAGTGTGGGGCAAAAGGAGGACAGGGCAGACCCGTGTTTACCCACCTTTCCACGGTCATGACGTTTTCCAGTTCATCAGGGTTGAGTTTGATAGCGGGGTTCTTGTTAGCTGGCTCTCCGATGCATGACAGTAACATGCCCCCCTGGGTCCCCGCTAGCTTCAGCTCAGCCTGGGGAGACAAAAGACAAATCGACATTGAGCAAAAGAGATCCTTGCCAACCTTTTTTTTAACTGCCCGGAATGTTAAAGGTCATGTAGTCCACCTCCTTTATTTTTCATACGTGGAGAGTGAGGCCCAGAGAGGGAATCTGAGATCCAAAGCTAGAAAGGGCCTTAGTGGTCATCTGGTCCAGCCCCGTCATTTTTTAGATGAAGCACATCGAGAGCTGAAATGATCTGCCGGTCACACAGGTAGCAAATGACAGAGTAACGTTTCCAAACCCAGTATCCTTTCTACTACAGCAGGCTTTCTCTCCCCCCGACTCTATCCAGATTGGTTTGCCTGAAGAGAATTTAGATCAAACAGCAAGATGTGCCTTTGGGGGTACCTAGCCCCAATATCCTCCCCCTCTCTGTTTTTGGAGGACTCTTGAGTGGCCCAGCCTAGGCTGACTTGATGCTCCTTCCCAAGCCTCCCCTATCTCGCTTCTCCACAGCAAGGTCCCCCCCAGGATCCATTTTCTCATTCAAACCTACAACCCTACCCCCACCACGACCAAAGGACCTGCCCTGTCTCAACTCTCAGTGGTACAGCTAACATAACTAACTCATCCCCCGCTGAATGAGCAAATGCCATGTTGCTTGGACCCAGCTGCCTGCTCCTCCCACCTTCCCCATCTTCAGAATGATAAACAATATACTCATTGCCCTCTCCCCTCATGGGTGAGTGCTGGAAGCAGCTACTATAACTCTGGAGAGCTGATTGTTAAATATTCAATGTGATCATCGACACTTCCCAACAAATCAGGGCTCGGTGTATTCTCTTGTTGGTTGTCTAAACTTAAGAAAGCAATGGAGAAAATATTAATAAGGGGAATTAAACTTAAAAGTGTGTCTTGTGTACATTTTGTTTTCTTGCTAAAACTGGTTGTTAAACATTTGTTAACACATGCCTGGTAGAGGATTACTAGAATTCCCATCTAATCCAAGTTTATAATAAAAATAGTCTGTGATGTCATTAATTTAGAGCTGAAAGAGTCTTTAGAAATCATTTATTCCAACTCTTGCTTTTTACAGATGGGGAAACTGAGGCCGAGAAGTGCACCGTATTGCACTTCACATGGGATGCTTCAGGAACCTGAGCAAGTCACATCGACCTTCCCAGCCTCAGGTTCCCCGTCTGTAAAACAGAGGTAACAACAGCCCCCACCTCCTAGGTCTGTAGTGATACTCAAGGGAGGATCATGGGTTATAGAGCTGGAAGGGTCATCGAATCGAAATTCATACTCAGTGGTATTGGGGCCATTGAGGTTCTGGGAAGGTAGGTGACTCACTGGGTCACCAGGGCAGGAGGTGGCAGAGACCAAATTTGAACTCAGATCCCTTGGTCCCAAAGCTAGTGAGGTTTGTCCACTGGACCATGCTGAGATAAGGCGTGGTAAGTGGTGTGCGCCTCTTAAAATTTACCTAAATGTGAGTGGCTTATTTTTGTTACTTCCTCTCCTTCTGGCCTTGGCTCACTTCTGGTAGCAGAAGAGGAGGGCCCAGAATGATCCAAGTTAAGGAGCCCCCTTCTCACATCCGTCCTCCCACCTTCTCCGGGACACAAGTGCGTGATGACTAATGTGTCTGCCTGCAGCCACTGAGCCCAGCGCCTGATGACTGGCTTCGGGCCTGTTGCCTCTCCCGCCACTCCTGTCCCCCACTTCAGACCCCCGTCAGGATAATCACTGGTTGTAAGTTCACTGGAGGCAAAAGGAGACAAGGGGCCTCTCTTTTTAACCGGCAGTCAGCTTTCTTTAGCATCCTGCAGCATCTGCAGCTGTTTCAGCCAGCCCTCCTCTTCCTCCCCCATCCTTGCCATGCCAGAGCCCAGGGTGAGCACCCACCTTCAGCTTGCTGTGCTGCTCTGTGTGGGAGTGGAGAAGCTGCTCTGTACACTGGACATCATTGGGCAGCTCTGTCTCTGCCAGGTCCGTCCCGAAGGTCTGTAACATCTGGGCTGTGGTTTTCACCGTCAGAGCAAAGTTTTCTATGGCCTAGGAGGTCAGAGGCAAGGAAGATAATTAAAGCTTGTCAGGTTGGATGGAGTAATGTGGCAGAGCCCCCAGTGCTCAGTCCATTCCCATTGTCATCTCCAGTAAGGCATCAGAATTCAGCAGACAAGAAGGAAGAGGAGGAGGAAGAAAAGGAAGAAAAAAAGAGGTGGAGGAGAAAGAAGGAGGGAAAGGAGGAGATGATGACAAAGAGGAAGAGGAGAAGGTGGTGAAAGAAAAGGAGAAAGAGAGGAACTAGAAGGAGAAGAGAAAGCAGGAGAAAGAAGAGAAGCAAAAGGAGAATGAGGAAGTGAAAGAGAAAGAGGAGGAAGAGAAGGACCAGAAGGAGAAAAAGGGGAAGGAGAAAGAGGAGGTGAAGGAGAAGAAGAAGAGAAGAAGTAGGAAGAGGAGAAAAAGGAGGAGGAGGAGAAAGACGGGAATAGAGAGACTGAACCTATAATTTCATTGGTCTAGTGAACTCTTGGAAGAGTAAACTCACTGTGCATCCAACTGGATACCTTCTCTGCAATTTAGGGCTTTGGAGGGGTGTCAAAAGCCCAGAGGAGTGAATGACATGCCCAGAGTCCCATTGCAATAATAAAAAATAGTAACCACCACCACCACTATTTCTAGAGGTTTTCTTTTAGAGTTTACAAACTACACAGAGGTCCCAGAAGGTGGGTAGTAAAAGTACTATTCCCCCCCATATTGGGGCAGATGGAGAAACCAAGGCTTGCAGAAGCTAGAGGTTAAAGCCCATTCCTGTTCAGCCACTTTTCCCACTGACTCTGAATGAAAATACCACAGCATGGATTCCCACTGGTGCTCTCCAGGAGCAAAAGTGAATGAATCATCATGTGCCACTGGTGGGGAGATGCCAATGCAATGCGTTACAATGCAAGGAGAGCTGGGGTTGGCATCAAAGGCATGAGCTTTAAATCCTGTCTCTGCTGTTCCTCCCTGGGTGACCCTCATCAGGTCAGTTAATGGCCTTCTGAGGGGCCTTACATGTAAAAGAAAGGGGTTGAATGGAATGGCTTTGACCCTCCCGCCAGCTCTAAATCTTTGATCCTATGATCTAGGCCTCAGTTTCTTCCTCTGAAAAATGAGGTGGTTGGACTGGATAGCTCTAAAGCTTAGGGTTTTGGTTTGTTTGTTTTTTTTTGGTTGGGAGAGAGAAAATAAATTCTTAAGTGAAAAAAAATTATTTTGAATTAAAAAAAATAAATTCTAGGCCCATGAGAGCAAGCAGGGCCCTCTAAACGACTTTTTCTTCTCACTTTCCCATTCACAATGTTTATGTATCCCACGCCCCTTCCTTACCTCCCCCTTCCTATTAGCACCCTCCCCCTCCCTCACGTGCTTTGTCACTCACTAGGTCTCAGGTAAGAAATCTGTCCTTCAGTGAGAGCCCTTCTGAGACTCCAGGTTGGTGAACAACTTCTCTGGTGGGAATGTCAGGGGTCCTGGCAAGATCAAAGCAGGAGGGGGGAGGAGGGACATGGTGGGGGCAAGACACCCTGCTTCAGATCCCCTCTGATGCCTCTGCTGCTTACAAGTCACCAAAGGATGGGGAGTGTGGAGATCAGAGGTTTATACTCTAGCAGGTAACACCAGTCATAGATTCTGTCCTCATCTCCACGGTAACTGACACAGGACCACAATAGGAGTTTGAGAAACTCTCTGAGGTCATCCAGGCTGCCCCCACCTCCTTTCACAGAGGAGGAAACTTGGGCTCAGGGGTGGGGAGTGACCTGCCCAATGTCACAGGGCTCATGTCTGGAGAGGGATTTGGACCTCAGAGAAGATTAGGTCAACCCCCATTTTATGCAACATCCACAAAAGTCAAAGGGGTCACACAGCTATTGCCTGAAGCTATATGTGAACCCCGGGGGTCAATTAATTCAACATCCTCATTTGACACAAGGAAATTGAGGGCCAGAGAGGGTAGGTGACTTCCCCAAGGGTTTGAACCTAGGCCCTCTCCCCTCCCCGTAGTCCTTGGAGGGCCAGCCTTGGAGAAGTGGGCGCAGACCCAGCCTGCTCATCAGGCGTTCCCTCTACTGGCCAGGACAAACCATCATGGTCCCATCCCTAGGGCTCCAAGGTCGAGAGAGCCCAAACCCACCCAGGGCAGAGTCTGTGGTCACTCCCCGTAGTCTCAACCCCTCTTCCCCCAAGAAAAGTGGGAAAGAAGGCAGATAAGGGCAACCTTAGTTTTAAGAAGCCTTTTTTCTGCCCCTGCTGCCTAAACTGGAAACCTGCCCAGGAAGGGGGAGCTGTCCAGCTGTTCTGATCTCCTTCCTACCAGCATCTGAAAGAGTCTCTGTCAGAAAGGACATGGAGAGTGTAGGGGGTGACCCAAATGGCCTTGAGTCCATGTCATATAAGGATGTCTTGAAGGAACAGGGGATGTTTACCTTGGAGAAGAGAAGAGAAGCCTCAGACACTTATTAGCTGTGTGACCCTGGGCAAGTCACTTAACTCCTATTTCCTGAAAGGAAGGAAGGAAGGAAGACAGAAAGAAAGAAGGAAGGAAGGAAGAAGGAAAGAAAGAAAGAAGAAAGAAAAGGAAAGAAGGAAGGAAGGAAGGAAGGAGAGAAGGAAGAAAGGAAGGAAGAAAGGAAGAAAGGAAGGAAGGAAGAAGAGAAGAGAAGGAATATCACCCTGAAATTTCACCAATAGAAGCCTTCCTTTGGATTAGGCCTCAAAGGTAGGATTTGGGTCCAGAAGACATTGGTTAAAGTATACACATGCTACCAGGAAGGAACCAGAGGCCATGGAGACTTACTTCCTCCGGCCTCCTTTGCCAATTAGGATCGTCTTATCAGATGCCCTTTGTCTACTGTAAATACGCAGCTTGTCCCTGAGGGCACAGGACAGGAGAACCAAGGTACCTGGTGTGGGAGAGAGGGGCCAGCAGAGATGCTCACAGGGCAACAGCCTCCTGGTGCCAAAAGGTGGTACTAAAAGCAAGGCAGAGAGTACTGAACCTGAACTTGCCCAGCTCCTCCAGGCTGCCTAGGGCTTGGCCTGGATTCTCTCCCTGGTCAAGGGAAGAGTGTCTTTATTTGATACGAGCTGGCGGCTACCTGCTGCACCCACCTCCATACTCTTTTCCATGGGGGAGTCTTACTTTTTCCCAACCCTAATAAGAAGCAGAGCTGCTCATAAATTTGGAGAAAGTCAGAGAACAACTGACACTGATGATTGATACGTGTCTACAGCAATCACCAAACATTTATCAAGCACCTACTATGTGCCAGTCATGTTTTACGATTTATTATTCTCATCATTGATGAGAATAATAAGTAATATTTATGTAGCTCTTTAAAGTTTTCAAAGCACACTTTACAAATATTATGTCATTAGATCTTTTTTTGGAGGCCATTGGGGTTAAGTGACTTGCCCAGGGTCACACACAGCTACTAAGTGTCTGAGGCTGGATTTGAACTCCAGGGCTGGTGCTCTATCCACTGCACCACCTAGCTGCCCCCTCATTGGATCTTCCTAGCAACCCTGGGAGGTAGGGGCTATGAATATCCCCATTTTACAGATGAGGGAACTAAGGTACACAGCAGTTAAGTGACTTGCCCAGAGAACACAGAACTAGCAAGTATCTGAGGCTAGATTTGAACTCAAGACTTCCTGACTTCAATTCCAATGTTTGACTAGGGATTAGGGATTTCAAGAGATTGAAAATATAAAGATGAAACAAAGGTGAAATGTTCCATCCACCATCCAAAGAGCCTTTCTAAAAAGGAGATTATGGTTGATGCCAGAAATCACTGCCCTTTGCCTTCTGCACCCAATCTGTTCTATGGGATACGGCACATCCTTTGGCCTGTGACTGGAAACCAGGAGGCTGTGATCATTGACCTCAAGTCATGGTGCCTAGACCCTGGGACTTGGTGCTAAGCCCACTTCAGACATGACTTACTTATTGGCTGTGACTCCAAGCAAATCACCCGTCCTTGAGCCCTTAGCTATAAAATAGGGATAATCAATACCAACTTCCTGCGTTGTTTGCAGGATCACAGAATCACAGACTTCAGAGGCACTCCCTCTTCTCCGACCCCCTCATTTTAGACACCAGGAACCTGAGGCCCAGTTATCTAAGTAGCCCTGAGTCATGGAGGTAGTAAGTGACAAACAGGTGTGAACCCAGGTCTACCTGACTCGACATCTAAAGCTCTTTCCACACACTGCTTGTCAAGGCAAATGAGATCATGTATGCAAAGCGCTTTGTAAACTTTGCCCCAGCATACAATAATAGTATAATTGCCATCATTTATTATTTAATCATTATCATATAATTATAATCATAATTATTATTACTAATAATATTGTTACTTAAAATATTATATTATATCATAATAACTAATAATATTACTATGATTACTACAATAGTAATAATTATGTAATTATCATTCCTATTGCTATTGATAATAATACTACATCATTATTGCCAATATTATTACTACTGTCTTTGTTTCTTGTTATTATCACCCTTCACTCATTCCCTCACCCCCCCAGGACCTTCAAAGACAAGCCCTTTGCCCAGGTCGTACTCACCGTTCGATGGTGTAGCCACTGTCCGTGGCCATATTCTAGAGTCCCGCCCAGCTCCCTGGTCAGCTGGCTCTTGTCAATGTAGCCGTGGAGATCAGAAACAGAGTTCAGCATGATGATCTATGGGGACAAACACAACCCACCCCCCCAAAAGAAAAACACAAGTGAGATGTGTCTCTCAAACAGTTGGGAAGCAGCTGATCTTTCTTTATGGGAAGGATTCATTCAGGTGCTCTTTGCTCCGCTCCCCCCAGACAGCTTCATCATATTCAAACGAGTTCAAATCTAGCCTCGGACACTTGCTAGTTCTGAGTTCTCTGGGCAAGTCACTCAACTGTGCTCTGCCTCAGTTTCCCAATCTGTAAAATGGGGATAGTCACAGCCCCTACCTCCCAGGGGCTTCATCATACGAGTGCCTCCCACCCCTGGATGGGATAAAATGAAGAATTCAAGGCATTATCTCGTTCAAGGAAAGTCAAGGAGCTGGGAGCCCAGGACACTGAGCTCAGCTCCATCCACCTGCTCCACCTTCTGCGTCCCCCAATGTTTTAATCCAAAATGATCCCTTCATCTTTCATCTCAGGACCTATCACAGAAGAAGCTTTGTGAATGAATGAATGAATGAATGAATGAATGAATGAATGAATGAATGACTCTGATGGGCACCCACAACCCAGAACATAGAATGTTGGCCTGAGGCACAGGAAAATCTGGGCTCGAGTCCATGCCTCTGACTGTGTGACTCTGGGCACGTCATTTCATCTGTCTACCCCAGATAACACCCTTAAGGCTATCAGAGCAGGGGCTGATCAGCATTGGGAGAGGGAATTTCCTCACCAAGAGGAACACCAATTCAATCACCAGACTGATCCCAAAAGAAAAAGAGAAATTTGAGCAGGTCAGTCTCAAGGGCGTTTCAAATTGGGAAACATTTCCTGGTTTCATTCTTCATCTTTATATGTCCAGCAATGAACATAGTGCCTAGCCTATTGTAAGTGATTAATAAATGTTAGCTTAGGGGCAGGTAGGTGGGGCAGTGGATAAAGCACTGGCCCTGGAGTCAGCAGGGCCTGAGTTCAAATCTGGCCTCAGACACTTGACACTTACTAGCTGTGTGACCCTGGGCAAGTCACTTAACCTCATTGCCTAGCCGATAGATAGATAGATAGATAGATAGATAGATAGATAGATAGATAGATAGATAGATAGATAGAT